TGACTCATACGGGGAGATCCACCGTAGAGTTCTAGGAAGTCAATCTTCCCAGTGCTGGTGACCTGCCAGTGACACTCTTGATGCGGAACCGTTAGGTCTGTCGACTGCAGGGAAGCATCAAAGGTGACCATGCAACTGGCGTGGTCAGAACCTTCTGACGTCAGAGTTTCCTCATCAGGCGCGAGAGGAATCTCCACATCAGATGTTATGTCATAATTTTTCCTCAGTTTTGAGATATTAACGCGGACGATGCGTGTTCCAAGATCCACACCTACCATGGATCCTCCGAGTTCGGAGATCACATTTCCTTTTAGCCAAGATCCATGTTTGGACCCAGTTGATCCAATCTTAGACTTATCCTCTGACCAGTAGAAAACCTTGTCTCCCAGAGAGAAAGGTCCTTCGGTCATTGACAGTCTGGCCGCAAGATCTCTGCGCAGATCATCAGATTGGCGTGCCTCTTGGTAAGCACTGTTGGCAAGCTCCTTAATGGCTCTCGCAGTGACTTCCGTATCAGTTGGATTACCTGTCAACTGATTGGGATCAGCGTTCTCTGGTGTTATAACATCTCGAGGACGCCTACCAAAGGCCATCTCTAAAGGAGTAACTCCTCCATAGGTAATCGAAGAGTTTCTTGCCAAACATGCTTGTCGAACGAGGTTGCCATACTTCATGGTGATTCCGTTATACTGAGGGTCACCATCCTTCAGGATCTGAAGTATGATCTTGATCTGATGCTTCAGCAATCTTACAGCAGCTTCGGCCCTGTTGGGCCATGGTGTTCCAGGTCCTGTTGCTACAGGCTTGATATTCTGCCGATTGTAATAAGCCTCCATTTTCGGAGTCATGAATGCTTGATCTCCAACTACAACCCTTGGGTTGATCTGAAATTTCTCAAAATAGTCATTCATAATCGACATTGTAGTATGCTCTTCCGTATCCTGGACTACTTCGGAAGTCAACAGGTTTGTTGCTCCGTCATAGAGAATAAGAAATATCAAGCGACTATTTTTGCCGGGAATTGGAAGCTCACCGTGATCTACGAAGGTGAGATCACCGAAAGTCTCTGATCTTAAACCGGAAATCTTCGCTCTTGAAGGAGCTCTCACGTGTTCCTGACAGGATGAACACTTTTTGACCAGTTGGTCATATAGCTCATATATCTCCTTTGGGATCTGTAAGGCTTTCGTGCGTCGCTTGAACTGATCCGTACTCATATGACGGTGCTTAAGGTGAAGCTTATAGAGTTCTACAGGGTCTTTAAGCTTCTCATGAATCCTGCGAAGAGCAATGGGAAGAGATGGCGATGGTTCTGCGACAATCTCTTCACCTGTAGGTGAGTCTGTACCAGGAGCCGGGTATTCTCTTGACTCAAGTGGTCTTACCTCCGTCCCGTCATCAGCTCCTGGGACCATAGACTTCTCCTAAACAGGAGGTTTGACCGCATATTTGCGGGTTTTCTTCAGAAGGTTTTTAAGACCCTTTGGAGTCTTTGTCTTCGCAGGTGGAACCTCAAGTCTTTCTTCTTCTGGAGGTTCGTGCGGTGCAGATGATTCTGCAGGTTTGTCTCTAGAGCCTGATGATGGTTCCGATGGTTCGGAAGGCGCAGGAGCATCACCAGATGGTTCTGGTGGATCAGGTTTCTTGGCAGATGATTCTGCCGGATCAGATGGAAGAGGCTTCTTCTTACCTGGAATGCCCTTCGGTGGTGGATCAGCTGCTCCTTCAGGTGCTTTGTCGCAAACTTTTGAGGAACGTATGAGGCTTTTTCTGTCCTGCGCAGGCTGGACAGCGACCTTCCGGGATCTTAGTATAAGATCTTCTTTCTTCCTTTGGCTTCTTAGCTCCTAGAGCAGTCTCCGTCGCAATGAACGACGTACCTGACTTAGGGAGATACTTCCTGGTGGAAGTGAAGCCTAGAAGGTCCAATACCAAATGGTTATTGGTACTAATCGGAAGGGGGGTTTTGTACAAACCGAAAGCTTCACACGGTGCTAGGTCAGCTGTGGGACTACACTCGAGGGTCATTCTTAGATTCCTCATCTGTTCGATGGAGAACAAAATGGGAACTCTCCCCTGATCCAGAACCTCGATGGTTGTATCTCTTCTGGGAGTTGTGTTGAACCATAGAGTTACACGCTCCTTGATGAGAGCTGTTTCACTATCTGCGAAAGAGAACTTCGTGTTCGAAGGTGAGAAAGTGAAATCAATCATGCCTGGGGCACGTTGCTTCACGGCCTTGATAAGCCTGTTCACCGAATAGCGGGAACCCATAGCCCTAGTACAACCTGAGTCAAGTATGACAAAGGTAGGGTTCTTATCAAGATTGATCCGCTCTGTGAGAGCAGATAGGACGGTGTGCTGCAACGGAAACACCGCTGTTGCAGTTTCAACACCTTGCACCTCGGATGGTTCAAAGACCTGGGGCACGTAACTCACTGATGAGTTGAACACGGGTTCTTGGTGCGCGCTCGGATCTGTGCCTCTACCTGATGATCCTGCTTGATTTCTTCTCTTCTTTCTCCGTGTTTTTCTTCGTGAGGCTTGTGATGCATAGTATGTATAAGACTTTTGATCGTCATAAGCGGCATAATTCCAACTGGAGTCAGTATAATAACTGTCCTCATACCATGAATCCCAGCTCGGTGCGGTGGAACTTTCATAGGCCTGTGGAGATCCAGTTTGGTATCCTTGTAAGGAGGCAGACTTAGCTG